CCAAACCCAAGAAGTCGAGTCCCCGCCCCAAACCCTGACCCCGCAGCTCAACCGCTACAGCTCCCGCATCACCGAGCCCAAATCCCAGGGCGGAGCTCAGGCCATCCTCTACGGCGTCGGCCTCGATGACGACGACATGAAGAAACCCCAGGTCGGGATCTCTTCGGTGTGGTATGAAGGAAATACTTGTAATATGCACTTGATGAGTTTGGCTGAGGCTGTGAAGGAGGGGGTGAAGGAGGCTGGGATGGTTGGGTTTAGGTTTAATACGGTTGGGGTTAGTGATGCGATCTCGATGGGGACGAGGGGGATGTGTTATAGTTTGCAATCGAGGGATTTGATTGCGGACAGTATTGAGACGGTGATGGCTGCTCAGTGGTATGATGGGAATATCTCGATTCCTGGGTGTGATAAAAATGTAAGTTTGATGCTGAATTGCTGCTTGAGTGAGACTTTCTTCAAAAAAAAAAAAAAAATTGAACTTGGCATTTTGTTGTTCCTTCTGTAAGCTTAAACCTCAGCTTTAATGGTTATTATTAGTTTAGTGGCGATACAATGTAGTTTAATTCAAATTTTAAACATGGGAGCATTGCGAGCTCAACCATTAGCCACTAAAACATCTGTATATCAATTTGAGTGCTTATTTAACGAGCTGCTAAATTGCGATAAAAATGTATGCTTGATATTAAATTGCTGCTTAGAAGTGAGATATTTACTCAAGTACTTCATAAAAAAGTGAGCTTGGCATTTTGTTGTTTTTTATGTATGATGGTGGTTTGGTGGCAATTAGAGAGCAAAATATGAAGAATGAGTATACTCTGACATTATGATTGACATGTGTATTCGTAGAAGGTTAGGATTGTAACCATTAACTGGTGTGGTAATGTCCAAAGTGAATCACTAAATGCTCCAATTAGGAGAATAGATGATGTAAGATAAGATATCTCAAACACATGAGCTTGATTACTCATTCCATAGTCTTAACTTAAAATTTTGAGCTTCAATGATTGTTATTTTCTTAGTAAACTTTAGGTGGTAAAATATATTAGTTGTTGATATAACATTATTCAAACTTGGCAACACGGTGCACTAACTCATTACTTTAGTTACCATAAAATTTGTAGCTAAAATTTGAATGCTTTTGAACGAGCTGCTAATTCAAATCCTTTATGAAAAGTGAGCTTGAACTTCAACCTACCCTTTTTGTTTTTGTCATGACCCACTTGTTGTAAGCTTGATAATTCTACATGATTTTTTATCAGTCACGCGCACACATATGCATCATGCAAGTATTCCTGATTTATGATAAAGAAATCATCAAGGTTTTAAATATCGGATATCGGGAAAATATCGGATGACCAAAATTCATATCGGATTGCGTATATCTGGGATTTATCGGGGATATGTGGTAAATATCGGAATGTCATAACGGATGTTTGCATATATAGTATAATGCACTAAAATAAAATCTCAACATAATTAATAAAATCAGGGCAAACAAAATGTAAATAATGTATGTTTAGGATCACTAGTCAACCTTGTAAAACAATCGAATGTACATTTTGTTCTGATTGTTTTAGGCCAAAATGTTGTCTGATATGATAGAAAAATGATAATATCTTGCCCAAAAATTTCCAAACGCTGTAAATTATTTTGCGACAAGCCATATAAAAGGATATATTAGTTAATATATCAACTAATATATCGGCCATATCGGGGATATATCGTCCAAAATAACTAAAAAGTGATAAATGATATTTAAGAACTATATCGGTTGCGGCAAACCCTGTAAAAGGATATATCGGGTCATGTCGGAGATATTTAAAACAATGGAAATCATAAGGAAATGCCTAATTTTTTCTGAAATTTGACTTAACTATTCCATGCCATTTTATTATAAAATCTCTTCTCTATTTCTGAAGAGATAATTTAACACTATTTGAACCTGAACACTTGTTATTTTGCAATTTGAAGTAATTTGGTAAAAACATTTCCCTTGAAAGGTGTCTAAGAGAGGTTATTTTCTCTCTAAATTTTCCTTTTAAGTCAGAAGTTGCATAGTTATAGTTAAATTGAGAACGTAATTTGTATGCAATTTCTTCGTTGGCTTGGTCCAATTTTGGCAATGTATCATGCTCAACATGTATAACAACCACTTGCGAACAAGTTACCCACATAATTAATGAGTAAAAATAGCGATGCTTCCTTTTTTGCCTTCCAGATTTCTCTGTTATGCGTGTTTCTTGTCATGGTCCTGAAAATTAATTTCCTTTAGATTCTAATTTGTTTTGATCTACGCTTCCCCACCTCCCCACCCAAAAAAAAACCACAAAACCTTTCTTCCCATCTCCTGTCAGTTGTCACAGTTCTGTTTATTTATTCCTTCAGGTATAAAATTTCAGGATTCCAATTAAGGTTGTGTCACCAATGGTAAGAAGATCCTTTTTCTGTGGTTAATGGAAAATATCGTGGTGAAGCTGGGCTAAATTAAGAAGTCAGTATAACATGCTCTGCCAACCTGAACGCTTAATGTATAAGATTGATGAGGGGAAATCATAATACTTTATGAAGGAAGGTTATTCAAAATTAGGAAAAGGGTGAAGCAAACCGATGTCCAATCTATGGCCTCTTGTCTTTGATGGTCCCATTTGAGTCTTGATTTTGACCTTGTTAAAGTTGCAGGATTATATTGTCTTTCATCTTCAGATATTCAATATATTGAATAAGTGCACTACTTAACTGACCTATATTTATTGTGGTCAATTGTTCATGGAGACTTGATGCTTTTTATATAAGTTATGCCTTCTGTAGCTGATCCGTTCTTGTTTACAGATGCCAGGTACAATCATGGCAATGGGACGGCTTAATCGACCAAGTATCATGGTTTATGGTGGAACCATCAAGGTGAATTATTATTTTTATTTTTAAGTCACAAATATGTCTAGGAATAGTCAGATAAAGAGTTTGCTTGCTAACTTGGGATCTTACCTTCTGTTTAAATATAACTACCAATACTATAGAGAATTTATGAGAAAACACACTTCTAAGGTTCATTTACTAGTAAAAATAAGGATAAATCTTTGAAATAGAACACATTTAAAGCTTAATTAGCAAAATAGACCGAAAAAGTATTTAGTTAGCAAAATAGATCATTTTTGCTAAAAGTTGGTCTATTTTGCTAATTAAATGTCAAATTTGGTCTATTTCAAAATTATCAATTTCAAAACTATTTTGTTCATAAATAATTATAAACATGATTATATATATAAATTGTGAAAAGTTACATTTGATGCAATTATAATTTTCTATTTAATTGTAAAAAGTAAGTTTCTTAAAAAAAAGACTTGGAGTAAATTTAGTTGTGCATTGTTCTTTAAAAAGTGTTGTGTTGTAGTTAACAAATGTATAGTATAATAAAATGAATTTCCATTGTCATTACTATATTTTGAAATTATAACTACAGTTAAATTTTATGCATGCAAAGAGAGCCCAACATTAACTTAAAATAAGAAAAATATATAGTAAAAAATAAGAGTGTACACCCACAATATAAAAAAATTGCCATATGTAGTTAATAAAACAAGAGGATATATATATATATGTGTGTGTGCGCGCGTGTGTATATATATGTATGTATGTATGTATATATATATATATATATATATATATATATATATATATATATGCACACACATATGTATATATATGTGTGTGTGTCTATGTATCTATATATGTATATACACACATATATACATACATACATATGTGTGTGTGTATATACACATATATATACATATGCATATGTGTGTATATATGTGTGTGTGTCTATATATATATACTAGTTGAGATGCACGTGGTTAAATATCATGATTATTTAAATTAATAAAAATAGAATAAAAATAAAAAGAAAACAAAGTTTTTTGTGTGATTGATCAACTTAATAATCTCTCTCTCAACTGAAATATTGTTATTGTTTCCTTCAACCCATACTGTGATCACGTGGTTTACTATTTATGAGTTATAAACACATTAATCTAGTACAACATCTCTGTTTATTAGTACCTTGAAGTATTCAAAAGATGGATGATCATTCAATTCGTAAAGGAATTTTTTTATATGAATTTATTTGCAATATGTTCATTAAACTTTTAGTTGTGGTTTGACTCATATTCACATTAACTTTTAGTTATGGTTGCACACATATTTATATTATCTAATATTCTCATTTAATTTTGTAGCTCATTATTTGTATCATAGAAGTAAAACTAAAATTATGAAGAATTATTTTTTTGCGAAATTAAAGCAGAGAGATTATGATATATTTCGCCGTGTGCTCTAAATATAAAAATATTCTTTGATGTAAGGTCCATATTAAATCATACCCTAATTCCTAAACGATGTGAATGAAAAATACTATTATAACTCACTTGTTTAGGGTAATTGTATTATATATAGGACATATAACTCATCTGGAATATCCACATCTGCTAAGTGAATTTTGCTGTTGTGAGAGCAATATGTTAGATGCTCGTATTCAAATTTTTTAACTCTATAAAAGACACAAGAATTTGGAGTGCATAGTTAATATGTCGTGAAGAACATATTGGTTTATGAAGAATTTTCCCTAATAACGATATTATTACAACGATATTACTATTTAATATTAAATCAATTTTACTATATAAGATTATATGACTCTTTTTAATAAATTATAAAGTATATATATGAAAACCTTAATGCTTATAACCAATAGTCGGATTCCACAAAATAGGTTAAGTTTACATTGTAGTTTGCTATTTGTAGTATTGTTGGTAATGCCATTACCTTTCCTCTTTATCTATTATTCACGCTTTTCTGATATAAGTTCTCTTTTGCTAATCACTCAATTGGTCATATTTAGTTTTTATAATATCAGAGGTTAGAATATTCTCTTATGTTTAAAAAGTGTTGACATGATTTTCTTAAAAAATATATAAACATAGTAGCAATATTATATACTTCAGTTTAACTCAAACATTGGCTTGAAGTCATTTAAGGTGAGACCCTTTCTACGCTAGAATGATGATGTAGTGATTACACAATCCAATAGTTAAAGAAGAAATTTCTACAAAGAAAACATAATTTAATACGTTAAATTAACAACTAATTTATAAAGTATACATGAGCGGTGCAAATAGCTATACAAAGTAAGGTATTTATCTTCATGAAAATTTCATAGTGAATGACCAACGACAATCATCCTAATTTAAGAATAAATAATTATTATCTTAGTTACTAATTTGATACGCGTAACTATAGAATAAATCTCAAGCAAAAAATAAGAATTAAAATTGTATTAAATTTAAAAAGTAATAATTTAAATTATTAAGCGCCAAATATTAGTTCATGTGAGAAAATAAAGTAATTTATTAAATCGCGTAAACATTACAAATTTTTTTTCTAAATTTGATCTTAAGTTAGGATATCACCAAATACAAATAGAAGAAAAGGATCGTTATAAAATTGCATTTGTTGTACCATTCAGACACTTTAAATAGAATGTAATGCCATTCGGGCTTAAGAACGCCCCTTCAGAATTTCAGAATATTATGAATGAAATGCTCATATCCCTACACTTGATTTCATCTTGTCATACAAGATGATATTTAGATATTTTTCTTAGATATTTGATCAACATGTTAAACATTTAGAAATATTTCGTAATTTAGCAATACGAAATGGGTTGGCTATATCACCCCCCAAAATATAATTATTCCAGACTCAGATTAGATTCACACACACACACATATATATATACAGCGAGAGATGAGTATGCTTGGTATCAAGCACAAAAAGTTATGCTTGGTAGTGAGGTGACATAATCTCCTCCACTCATTCAAATGGTTACATATCCCCATGCACTCCTCAACCCATGTGAATGTGGTCTCCCATTGAATGTTTGGACGTGTGTATATGTACATATGATTTTTTAATGTTTGGACATGTGTTTTTGATGAAGCATAAGTCTGAAGCATTTGAGAAATTTATCGAGTACAAAAATGGAGTAGAGAACCAAACGAGCAAGAAAGTTGAAATTCTTCGATATGATCGAGGAGGTGAATACTTGAGCTCAAAATTCTTAGGATTTTTAAAAAAGAATGAGGTCCTCTCTTAGGTAACTCCACCCTTTACACCATAGCTTAATGACGTGTCAGAAAGGAGGAATCGTACCCTATTAGATATTGTACGTTCCATGATGAGTAACACTGAGTTACCTTTTTTATTTTGGGGGTATGCGTTAGAAACGACAGCACTTAATGAATAGTGTTTCGACTAAAGCAGTGCCTAAAACTCCATATGAGATGTGAAGTAGGATGAAACAACATCTTAATTATATTAAGATTTGGGGAAGTCCTGCTTATGTAAAGAAGCAAGATCCCAAAACGTTAGAGACACGTTCAGTATTGTGTAAATTTGTAGGATATCTAAGGAATTCCCAAGGATATTAATTCTACCACATCGATGAACAAAAGATAATTATTTCTCCGCATGCCACCTTCTTAGAGAAGGAATTTCTTGGAAAAGAAATTAGTGGGAGCATGGTAGATCTGGAAGAAATTTCAGAGACACAAATTAATATTGATAACTTAGTAGAACTAGAAAATTCAGTTGTACCAGATAACCTTAACCACTCCGAAGATACCCAAGGTGATCTCGTGCACCTAAGAGACTATGATTTTCTCGTTGAAGGTTGCATTGAAGGTTGTATGTCAAATCACGTCATAGATGATGACGAACCTTTGAGTTATCTGTAAGGCTCTCAGAGTAATGATTCTGTTGCTTAGCATGATGCAATAAAATCCGAAATAGACTCCATATACACCAACAAAGTTTGGATCTTTAGACAATGCTCGTAAATGGGTGATACCCATAGGCAGCAAATGGTTGTTTAAGAAAAAGTTGGGTGTAGATAGAAAAGTAGACTTTTAAAGCTAGACTGTTAGCTAAAGGTTTTCGTCAAAGATCAGGTTTGGACTACGATAAAATATTTTCTCCAGTGGCTATGCTAAAGTCTATTCAGATCCTACTTGCTATAGCTGCTCACTATGATTACGAGATCTGGCAAATAGACGTCAAAACAGTATTTCTAAATGATGATTTAGAAGAGTGCATATATATGACCCAAACAAAAGGATTTATAGTCAGTGGGAGCAGTGGAAAAGCAGTAGGTTGCTTGAAGTCATTTATAGACTAAAGCAAGCATTGCGGAGATGGAACATCTGTTTTGATGATGCTATCAAAGAGTTTGGTTTTATCAAAAATCTAGATGAACCATGTGTATATAAAAAGATAATTGAGAGTTTTGTATCGTTTCTTATTTTATATATAGATGATATACTTTTAATTGGTAATGACATCCCGTCATTACAAACAGTTAAAATATGACTATCAAAAAGATATTTCATGAAATATTTGGGTGAAACATCCTGTGTACTGGGTATTCAGGTCTATAGAGATAGATCTAAAAGGATGTTAGGATTATCCCAATCTAGATACACCGGTAAAGTGCTAAAACGGTTTAGCATGAAAAATTCCAAGAAATGTTTCAAACCTACATCTCTTGGAATCTCTCTCTAAAAAGATGTCTCCCCAGACTGATGAAGAGATGAAACGCATGAGTCTAATTCCTTATGCCTCGACAGTAGGATGTATGCCATGTTATGTACTAGATCGGATATCACTTATACACTTAGTTTGGTAAGTAGATACCAATCAAATCATTGAGAAGAGCACTGAAAAATGGTCAAGAATATACTAAGTACCTGAAAAAGACTGAGTTATTTTTGATATACGGTAAAAGTGACTGCCAAATGGAGGTTTTTTCTGACTCAAACTTTTAGAGCGATATCGATGATAGTAAATCTGTATCATGATATGTTTTTACCCTCAACCGAGCGGTTGTCAACTGGAAAAGTTCTAAGTAGGACACAGTAGCAGACTCGACAATGGAAGCCGAATACATTGTGGTAACTGATGCAGCCAAAGAAGCTGTCTGGATGAGAAAGTTCCTTTCAGAGCTGAAATTTGTTCCCACCATTAAAGATCCAGTACCTTTATATTATGATAGTAATGCTGCTATAGCTCTAACAAAGGAACCCCGGTCTCACCAAAAGTCCAGACACATTCTAAAGAAGTATCACTTGATCAGGGAGATAGTTGATCACCAAAAGATTAAGATTGAAAGAGTAAACACAAATGATAACATAGCAAATCCATTCACAAAGGCAATTGCTCGCACACAAATTAAAAATTTTGTTTAGCTATTGGGTATTAGATAATACAATGATTGACCTTAGTGCAAGTGGGAGTTTGTTAGATATAGGTGTCCTGCAGGCAATAAATGTATATTATAACATGACCTATATTAATATAATATCATTGTTTAAAATGATAGTATGCTATTTTGATCAGTATTTATCTGGTAATTTTAAAAATACAGATAAAGTCCTTAGAATGATACTATACTATCAGAATTTTAATAGCGATCGTAATAAAGAAGAGATCTGATTAGTCACTAATGTATATTCTAAAATGTTCTTAGTCAATGAAGTGTTGAGATATGACATCATCACTTTGACAAGACTAGTGTATACTCTATTTGTCCTTTTGAAGGATGATGATCCATCTCTTAGATCATTGATGCTAAGACGTCAAGGTACATTTATACATGTGCTCATTAGTGAACGAGTTCATTAATGACTCACCGAGAACATCTAGTTGGTAATATACTTAACTGTCAAATAGAAGTTCTCTAGTGATATAGTACAATAGTCTCTTGACATGAGGCGTGGTGCAATATCTTTTATGTCAGTATAGTTGTACTTAGACTTTTACCTAACCACAGTTCTTATTGAGTTGTGCATGCGGATTCTTGTTGGGTACATCTCGAGATACATGTAGATATTAAGATGTCAAGATAGGATTCGTCTCTCCCAGTATAGGGGGTTGATGTCATAAGATTATTTGATATAACTATAGCCTGTAAATTCTTGGTCGAGGTGAATAAGATAAACTGAGTGTCAGTTTAATCTTATAGGTTATGAGTTTAATATCAACAAACACTAGTGAATAAGATAAACTGAGTGTCAGTTTAATCTTATAGGTTATGAGTTTAATATCAACAAACACTAATCAAGCTAGTAGGGTTTGACAGTTTATGTTTAATCTTATAGGTTATGAGTTTAATATCAACAAACACTAATCAAGCTAGTAGGGTTTGACAGTTTACCATATCCTAGGTTCGATTGTTTGACATGGTTTGACGAAGAGACCGGACTATACGTTATTTATTACCGAGTGGTCCTGATAATATTGGGTAAGAATCTTGTAGACCTTTGTCACAAGTTATACCTGAGTAGTCTTCATGTGTAGCTAGCACCTCTGTTGTACTTGTGGATATGATCCACTGTCGAGTTTTAAGTTGGGCCATAGAGTCACACCACGCGCGTACTTGAATCCTATGAAATGCGAATTATAGAGTAATGCGTATTATGATACGTATATATGATTTTCACTAGATACATATAAACGGTTATATGTATCGGTAAAATCAGGATGCTATGTGCTTAAGAAATGAATTCTAGAATTTTTTTCATAAGTTGACTTTTAGTCAATTGATTGACTTTTTTGATCATCTGATGACTTCTTAGTTAAAGATTGAAAAAATACTGAATACCGTATTTTTATAAACCATATTAATAATAAATACCGTATTTAAAAATACTTTATTAATAATAATAATGTGGTATTTTCATCTATAAAATACACATTTTAATTATACCATGATTAAATGAGTCATAGGATGAGTCATTAGGTAATATGATTTAAGAACATAGTTTTAAACACATAGGTTTTGACTTTTGATGACTCATAGGATGAGTCGTTGTTTTTGATGATTCATGACATGACTCATAGGATGAGTCATTGTTTTTGATGACTCATAGCATTACTCATAGGACGAGTCATTGACATGTTGGCATCTCTCCCTCTATAAATATGAGCTCTCTTACTTCTTTGATAATTAATGAAAAAGTTGTTTTTTCCATGAGAAAAAAGGAGAGCTCTATCTCCTACTATCCTTAGCAATCTAAAGTAATAGGAAGTAGTAGGATTCAAGAACCCCTGGGTGGGTATCTTGCATTGTGTCTCAAGAAGCCTCAAATTCCTTTCTTGTTCCCTTGAAGCTTTGGAGATTAACTACAAGGAGAACGAGCTAAAGGGTGTTCGATCTACCATCGAATCACCTTTAAAAGTAAGCTTTTGAACTCTTGGATGCTCTCTTTAATATAGGGATTATGTTAGATTTAATTAGGATGGTCCTGGTGTGGATTTCATGCTCTCTACATGCTTAGTATTTTCGTATTTACATTCTTCAGCTTCATATTTTGCATGTAGTTTTCAAAGAAATTTCTTTCATGGTATATATTATATATATATAATATATTAATATATATATATATATTATATATTAATTATATTATATACTATATATTATATATATAATACATAAAGCAAAACTCTGGTGTCAACTTAAGTGGATAGCAAAAAGTTATCTACCAACTTTTTAGCCACTCATATCTGCCTAGGCGATTGCATTGCATGAATATGAATGTTTTTTATATTAATAACATGAGTGGCTAGGAAAATTTTGGTGGGACATTCCACTTAGTTGGATAAAGTCTTTCTCTCTCATCTCTACTCTCTATGGTATATATATTAAGTATATATATACATATACATAGTGTGTATATATATATATATTTATATGTATGTATTAATGGTGTAATTACATACATATTATATATGTACATATTAACACATTATATACAATGATATAGTATTGTGTGTGTCTATATGCTATGCTGTGGCTGTGTGTACTTATACAAACTAACATACAGTACATAACATTACAATACATACATACATACATACATACATACATACATACATACATTACATACATTATATATACTATTATATATATATATATATATATATATATATATATATATATATATATATATATATATATATATGTGTGTGTGTGTGTGTGTGTGTGTGTGTGTGTATTATATATATGTATATATACACATATATATACATATGTATATATGTGTGTGTGTCTATGTGTGTGTATATATACATACATATATATGTACATATGTATACACACATACATACATATACATATGTGTGTATATATGTATGTGTGCGTGTGTGTGCTCGCGTGTGTGCGCACGTGTCTGATTTTTTTCAAATAAGCCAAGAAAATTTTTAATTAGCAAAATAGGTCAACTTTGATTAAAAGTTGGTCTATTTTGCTAATTAAGTTTTTTTAGGTCTATTTTGCTAGTTAAATATTTGTTCGGTCTATTTTGCTAATTAAGTTTTAAAATTGGTCTATTTCAAAGATTTGTCCTAAAAATAAGTGAGATTTACTATTTATCTTGTGTATTATACTGGCGGTCTTTGCCCTATTGCTTTCACACTATTGCTTAATTTTTTTTTATAGTAACATCAAAAGAGTTCTCATGAGTGTTTCTTTTATTATTTAAATAAATAGTTTGAGATATATTTCTTAAATTTTATCTAGCTTGACTTCCATCTTTGTATTATTCTCTAATTACTTCATTCATTGTGCAGCCTGGTCACTTTCAGGGACACACCTACGATATAGTATCTGCCTTTCAGGTTTGTTTGTTTTCATCTCCCACTTTTTTTTAGCTCTTTTCTTAAATTTTAAATTGATAGCTGTATTTAGTAGCTTAAAATGGCTAAACATATTTATCACCAGTAAGACTAGGATATCTGCATATTTTTATATATCTTTTTCATTCTTTAATTTTGGATGTTCAAAACATTTTTTAATGCCCTATTTATGTGCCTTTTAGGTTTATGGCGAATATGTCAGCGGGTCAATCAGTGATGATCAGAGAAAGACTGTGGTACGCAATTCTTGTCCCGGAGCAGGGGCTTGCGGAGGCATGTACACCGCAAACACCATGGCATCTGCTATTGAGACATTGGGAATGTCACTTCCATACAGGTAAATGTAATACTTGAATACGTGTTGAATTTTCAAGCATTGCTTGAAAACAGTACATTAGTGAGATGCATTTTCTATTTTCTCCTTTGAATATTAATTCTCTATGTCTGCACCCTAAATTGATTCATTTTTGTTTCATTATCTGATAAAGCTCTTCAACACCTGCTGAAGATCCATTGAAGCTAGATGAGTGCCGGCTAGCTGGGAAGTATCTCCTGGATTTGTTAAAAATGGATTTGAAGCCTCGAGACATCATCACCGAGAAAGCATTACGCAATGCTATGGTCATGGTCATGGCACTCGGTGGTTCTACCAATGCTGTGCTGCATTTGATTGCCATAGCTAGGTTGCTAATCTCATTTTTCTCAGATGTATGCTAGCATGTCTCGATGCTCCAATGCTTATTGACAGTCATCTTCTTACAGGTCTGTAGGTTTGCATTTGACTCTTGATGATTTCCAGAAGGTTAGCGACCAGGTCCCTTTCCTGGCAGATCTTAAGCCTAGTGGTAAATATGTTATGGAAGATGTACACAAGGTTACTTGTTCCTTTCTGTGGTTTACTGGTACGTTGCTTAACAACCTAAATCCAAGGTTTGCCTTGATATGTACAGATTGGAGGGACGCCTGGAGTAATTCGTTATCTTTTGGAGAAAGAGCTTTTAGATGGGGACTGTATTACAGGTTTGTTTAGTACTTTTCATTGATTGAGCTTTTCTGATGTCAAATTATAACATGAAGATTCATATTTCAGTTACAGGGAAGACTATTGCAGAAAATGCCAAACTTTTTCCTTCTTTATCCGAGGGTCAGGTAGGATTGCAAACTAAAGAGGAAGAAAGCTTTTTTATTTTGGCTGAGTCTTAACATATTAAAAGTTTTGTTTGGCCTTTCTCTTAACATATAAATTACTACATTTCTTTTCCAGCAAATAATTAGACCATTAGAGAATCCCATCAAGTCATCTGGGCATATTCAAATTTTATATGGGAATCTCGCACCAGAAGGTTCTGTAGCTAAAATAACTGGCAAAGAAGGCTTATTCTTCTCTGGTGCTGCTCTTAACGAAACTCAGATATTCTCTAAATATTAAGTTGATTGTGCTATCATATTTTCTGATAATATTGCAGCAGTAATACTAACAAAGAATTCTTCATAGGTCCTGCACTTGTTTTTGAAGGTGAAGAGGCGATGATTGCCGCTATTTCAGAGGATCCTATGCGTTTTAAGGTATTCATATGACCACTATTAAGAATTTTATTTGAGCATTGTAAATTGAACACTACAAATTTAGATGTTCTATAAATAAACTGAAGTACTACTTAATGTGCTTGTGCACTAATCGAGGCTAACCTTCTGTTAACATAGTGTATCAAGAGTTTTAAGTTTTAACCATGCTGGTATGTACATTTGCATAAATTGTGAATGCATCAGCTGGAAGTGGAACCTAATTCATGGGATCACTTTGTTGTCCTTTGCTTATTGAAAATTATTTAGACTGTATATTTTACTGATGGGCCCTCATTTTACATGCTTATCCTTAGAAAGTACTGAAGGCTATGTTTTTTTAGTAATGGAGGTGGGAGGTCCCCAACGGCCTCTCAGAAAACTATTAGGCTTACCATTTTTTATGAGTTTATATTCAAGGAAACTAAAACTTGTTCAGAAATTTATAGGTTTCATTAAGTGAATGAGTGCTCATTTCTAATGGAAGAACTCTTTATGTTGTAATATCTTTTCCATGATCCTACATTCAGAATTTTATAGGTTTCTTTTAAGTGAATGTGTACTCATTTCTAATGGAAAAACTCTTGTATGTTGTAATATCTTGTCCATGAGTCTACATTATCTGTTGCTTTTTGTGTCTCTTTTTTTTGATTCACACAATTTACTAATAAGTAATACCTGTTATATTCTTTTTGTAGATTGATTATATATGGAGTGTCCATGTTTCTGTGCTTTTAGATAAATTTCTACTGTCAACAAAAGAATATTCTTAAAAGAACCGCCGTACACTTATGTTTGGAAATGAGACCGATTTAAGCCAGTGAAGAAAATAGCTCTATACTATTTTATATTACCCTGGATTCCCTATATTCTAGTAATAAAGACACACATAGTAGATTTCACTAAAATTTTATCTTAGTTTGTAAACTAGAAATATGCTTTTTTAAACTTACATTTCTTTTTTAGGAAACTTATTAATGTATGAACACTTTTAAGTGGCTTTTGATTTGGTGGGAACATGTTTATCTTATTCCAAACTTGCATAAGGAGTTACCACAGATTTATTGATTGGAGCCAGTTTGAATCTTTTCAGTGTTCTTAACTATCACCTTTATATTACTGTTTTAGGGCAAGGTGGTTGTCATAAGAGGAGAAGGACCTAAGGGTGGTCCAGGTATGCCTGAAATGTTAACGCCAACAAGTGCAATAATGGGTGCAGGTCTTGGGAAGGTATCATATTCACATTGCGTCTTTTTTATTATTGCAGTCAATTTATAATTTTAATTGCTCTTAGCACGTTATATGCTTTACGACCTAGTTGACTTGCTATTTGTTTAAAGTCAAAACCGTATGTATGCAATGAAATTTGACCATGTGCTACATTTCTCATTGATCTGCATGGTATTAAGCTTTGCTGTATAAAAATCGTTTAGTTCCATTACATGTTACTCGTGCATCAAATGATAACAAAATGAACAGTTTTTTTTTTTGATAATATAACTCATAGAATCTCATAATTCATAAATCAGAAGTTATTAGAATAGAAACACATGATTTTTTGTTGAACTTAGATGACAGGTAAAGTAATGTGAATGTTGCATGTCATTCAATTTTATGGTATTATATGTTTTTGTACGTTGAAAAGTTATGCTTCGGGAGCATTAAAGCTCATTAACTAGTATTGTGATAGAATGGCTGATAGAAGAAAATTAGCTTCAAATGTTAAAAAGCATTATAATTATGAAATTATCCCACTTTGATATGGGGATGACTATTTTGAACCTGAAAGCTTATTACGTACGGTTCTCGGCATATTATTAAAGTTTTTAAATCCTAACCACCTCTTAGTTTTTCTTTACCAAGTTCTGTTCAATGTTGTAGGAATGTGCTCTGCTCACTGATGGTAGATTTTCTGGAGGATCACATGGTTATGTAGTTGGTCATATATGCCCAGAAGCTCAGGTGCGTATGCCTATGTCCAATTTTAGATAGAATTGCTGTCTCTTTCTTTTGGTTTGCTATTTTCCGCTTGGAATTTGAAAAATACCTGGGTAAAGTAGGACACCAAAGTTCAAAATAAAGAAATAAATAAATACATAAAATCTGTTAATGTTAGAAGTTTCAAGAATTTGAGCAAAAAAATTGAAGGCATTCTGTTTTGACTCTCCAGGAAGGTGGCCCAATTGGTCTTGTTGAAACTGGCGATATAATCACCATCGACATCCAGAAACGAAGAATGGATGTTGAATTGACTGAAGCACAGTTTGCCGAGAGGAGGAAGAATTGGACCCCACCATCATATAAGGCAAGAAGAGGAGTTCTATACAAGGTATGTCAAAATGAACTTTTTTACATGAAAAGAAATCCTATACAGGGCCATGTATAGAAAATGATTTAGGAAGGAGAAGGCACAACACCACAAATTAAGTTAATAGCACTGGTTCCACCAGTAGTGGATACTGATTAAATAACGTAGAATTGGTAGTGGAACACATATCATCACATCCTTCCTCCCTGTAGAGTGTTTGCTATAGAATGTTTTTTTCCGTTGTCAGAAGACCATAATGCGTTTCTCGTTTTTTTTTCTGAGGTGTAATTTGTCGTCCTCTCTTGCAGTATATCAAGAATGTTCAATCTGCATCTAATGGATGCGTCACAGATGAATAGGAAGCCAACTTTGGAACCATCTCTGAGCATATTATAGAGCTAGGAAGCGGATTTTTCTGCTGAGATATGTGTAGATGAGTTGCTCAGGTTTTCTTTGGCTCCCCCCCTGGAGATCACCAGGGAGTTCTGAGGATTTCAGCTCATGCCGTACTAAAATATTTAATGGTTTGGGGGTTTGTTCAAACTGGTGAATAATATGTTATTTGTGTTGTTTTATGTGTGTGTAGTTATCTGACGGAGCTTAGTGGTAAATAAACTGGAACAGTTGAACAGCATTATGTGTTGGAATGTGTCGCATATCGCAGTCAATGATGCTTATTATTTTCTGTTGAAGTAAGATTTCTTGGTGAAAGCAAAGGCTTAAGTTTTTTACTGTAACAATTGGGATTCTTGTGCTCTATAGCTACTATATTTTCAAGGATAAAATGATCATTTCCCCCTCAAAGTATTGGTGAACTCTCAAGTTGCGTCAAGTAACAAATTTGCCTATTTTGTGTTTCAAACTCTCAAGTTGCCTTGAGTAACAAATTTACCTATTTTGTGTTTCAAACTCTGTTTATGGTGTCCAATGTGATCATTTGGTGAGTTTATAGTTAAATATTTAATAAATTAATAACATAACAATGTTTTTGTACTTCTTCATAAGTTTTTATCAGTTTATCTATTTTTTCTCCAAATAATTTTTTTTAAACTACTTTCTCCCAAATTTTTTTATCCCTAAAAACTTTTTATGAATTAAGAACTCATTTTTTGTATCGCAAAAAATACAAAAATTGTAATAAAAATAAATTATTAATCTGTTAAATATTTAACTGTATGCTCACAAAATGATCACATTGCACACATACATGGTTGGAGGAGGAAAATAGATAAATTGATATTTTAGGGGGCAACTTGAGAATTCACCGATACTTAAAAAGGGAAAAATCATCATTTTACCCTATTCTCAATAACCTTTTACAGTAAAATGCTTGCCTCTAGTAAAGATTCACTTGTTAGAAAGCTGCTATAAACTGAGACGAAAGGTGAGAGCATGCTCTTGACAATTTTTCACTTGTCTTCAGTAAAGATTCACTTGTTCGAAAGTCGCTACAAACTGAGACGAATAGGTGAGAGCATGCTCATGTCACTTCTGAAATTATTGTCCTCAAACATAAAAGTGATGCATATTGTTTGGTAAAAAAAAAAAAAAGTCATATAGATGCGGAGGAAATTACTAAAAGAGGAAACGGGCTTTTAAGTGTTTCAATATCAACTTTAAAGCCGTGGAAACTATATGTAACATCAGTTCAAATATTTAAAAATCGATGAAGGCAAAACATTGAGACAACATAAACAACACGCGGAATCAATGCAAAAAGTAATGAGATTGGTGGAGTCACAAGAGATAAAATGCAAACAGGGATGAGATTAGTGGAATCACAAGATTTAAAGCTGTGGAAACAGTATACGCATTAATGTTGCTGATGTTAATAATCACACAGATAATATAATGGGGGTGAGGTTGATTAGGGGCCGCTAACTTTTCCGAATATCTGGTTTTGATTTGAGTAGTTTCTTCCTGCACAAATAGCAACTCGTAAAAGGACGGGAACTGGTTCACCCGTTGTTCCTCCGACGATCAAGTCGGTGATGAACTTGAGTGGGAAAGTGGTGAACTGTGTGAATTCTTTAGTGTAGTGAAGTGGAGAAGAATTCTGAGAGATTGCTTACTTTATTGTTGAAAATAATACCTTATTTATAGTGGTGGTAAATGGGTAAAATGATAATTTCGATCGAGTATGGGATGACGGTCCATGTCAGCATCTGCTTTACAGGTGTCGATCGACGAGTGAAGGAGAGGTCACCTCAATATTTAATGCGAAGTGATTGCAGGCATTATGACGGTGCCGATGTGGTCCGAGGTATCATAAAGACTTTTGGGGGTATAGGAATTATGACACCTACCAAGCATTTAATGTGACGCTGACGCGCTATCAGCGGGGGAGGTTTGAAGCTGAAGTCGTCCTCTGGCTTGTAGCGAGGGGTGTCGAGAAATAACGCCTTTCGAGTTGACCCTGCAAGATGTCGAATAACTGGTCGAGTGGGCTCGTAGCGAGTCGTCTTCGACAAGAGGACCGACAAGTATCGCTCTTCGAGTCGATCTAAGGAGATGTCGACTCGACGAGTCGGCTAGGTCGAGATTCTTGATAGTCCTGACCGTCAATTCGATTTGAGCGGTGCATGTAGAGGGACTCCTGTCCGTTGCTGGCAAAAGACATCCTTTAGCGACTAAAAACACCATAACAAATGTGTTGTAATTATTACGTAATAACCTCTTAACCTCCCTCTCATTTCAAGTAAGGAGGGTTCATTTTGCTAGAACTACAATCTCCTATATGATGATCCGACCCGATCCATCTCATTCTTGAGGATTGGCCGACAATTATTAAAATTTAGTAATTATCAAGTATTTTCCTCTTTTATTTACACTGGCCCCAGGTGGCGCGCATAAATGCGCTTCCCTTTTTACCCCCTACCCCGTCCGGATCCACTTAAGGCGTACCACTTATCCTAACAAGACAAAAGTGGCTAGAAATACAAAGGTCAAACCCAAGAGGTACATGACCTAGTTAAACCTGTTCCTAGAGACAACAGAACAACGGAATTCAAATCCCCCAGCCCAACTCAACGGCTAGCTCCAAATTTAGAAACAAAGAACCCTAGAAAAATCCCCAATCTCACTCTCTTCTCTCTAATTTCACCTTCGAACCCGTCCAAGTCCGAATAGTTTTCTATAAAATGGAGACTTCTCGATCGAAATCGAGTAATTCGCATCGAGGGGTTCGGATCGTTGGAAAGATACGTCCTTTTCTCGATTCAGAGGTCAGTAAAGCTCCTGATGGAGAGTCGAGCGTCTCCCAAATCTCGATGTCAAGAACTGAAGGAGAATTCGCCTCTGTTTCTTTCGCTGATCAAGCGAATGGGTAACTTATCTTCCCCCTTAATTTTCATTACTTTTGTACTTTTGGATGGCAATTTCTTTTGATGGTCTAAGGATAATTTAATATGTTTGTATGTAGAGAATGATCCTTCTTTTCAATCACTCTGAATTTGAGCTCCTAATCTGCAGCCTTATGTTGTTTAAGGGTTTTCTTTCTGTGAAGACAACTGTTTGATGGTTGTTTAAGGGTTTTCTTTCTGTGAAGACAACTGTTTGATGTTGATTTTGAGAAATAACCTGAGTTTAGAGAATAGGATAATATATTTTCTCCCATTTTCCTGAGTTTAGAGAATAGGATAATATATTTTCTCCCATTTTTGATTAATTGCATTTTTTAATGTCAATTATGTTGATAGTTTAGGGACTTTAATCTGTGTGTATGTAGGGAATGATCCTTTTTGTTGATTACTCTGGATTTGAGCTCCAAACATGCAACCTCATGTTGTTTAAGGGTTTTCTTTGTGTTTAAGACAATGTTTTGTGATGGTAATTTTGAAAAATAATCTGAGTTTTAGAGGATATCGTTTTTATTCGGATTTGGAATCTGGGTTGTTTACAGACGGAAGGATAGCTACAAACTAGATTGGTGCTACGGGCAAGAAGAGACCACCGGTGATATTTTCTTCCGAGAGATTAAACCTCTCCTTGAGGGAATTCTCAAAGGAAGTAATGGTTGTGTGATTGCTTATGGTGCTCAAGGAAGTGGGAAGACACAATTAATTCAGGTGACTTCAAGATCCCTTTTTTTTGTAATTATCATACAGCTGTTTGTGCTATTATCATTGTTAAGAGAAAATTTCTACTGTTTTGTGATTTAGGGTTCCGAAGAAAACCCAGGTTTGGCACTAATGGCAATCTCGGAGATCCTACCAGCTGTTGAGGAACTCGGGGGCTCAATGGGTATTTCATGCTATGAATTATGTCAAGACCACATTTATGATCTCTTGGAGCCTAAAGAACAAGAGGTTCTTGTAATGGAAGATGCAAGTCGAAGAATCAAGCTCAAGGGCCTTTCTCAGGTGTGCTGTGGGCAATTGATTAAATTCCAGAATAGGAAATATCGTACAATTGTTTGCTTATTTTTGCTTGAAATTTATCTTTAGGTGCCCATCAAATCAATTTCAGAGTTCAAAAAATCTTATTTTTATGGGTGTAATGAGCGAAAACCTTTACAAAAGGTGACAAATGATGTTGCAATCAGGTGCCACAGAGGCTTGATCATGCATCTTTCTTATGTTGATAAAGAATCCAACAAGCTTTGCATGGGGAAGATGAATTTTGTTGATTTGGCAGGTATTGCAGTATAGATTTTTAAAATTTATTTTCTTTTATTATTTTGAGAAACTTAAACATATTGAATTTTTAGCAATATTTTATGCTTGTCAATTTTATCATTTTCTTCTGTTTCTACTAGGTTATGAGGACACTAAAAGGAAGAATTTTGCTAAACCTACTCTTGCTGAGATTGTGAAAGTTAACAAGTCACTATATGCCTTATTAAATGTTGTATGTGCGCTGAACAGTAGCGAGACATATATCCCTTACCGGGAGACTAATTTGACCCGTTTACTCCAAGACTTTTTATGCAAAACAAGTGCTGCTATTTTGTTCACTTGTCTGGTGAGACTTAAAAAAACATATTCTTTGTTTGTTTTCATCATTCTTTGAGTGAGGACAGCAAATAATTCTGTTAGTTTCTTTTCTATGTATATTATTTGTTTGTTTAAAACAGAAACCAATGCCATGTCAAGATACGATGCATGCAGTTTGTTTGGCTTCTAGATCATGTCAAGTGGTTAATAGATATCGGTGTGATACTACCAAAAGCAATAAGAAAGATCCAAGAATTGTCCCATTATGTTCCCCCATCAACGGGAGAACTGGAACACTGAATGCTTCAGTTAAGAAGCCTGAAAGATCCCAATTAGGTTCAGTTGAGAGAAAAGGTTGTGGAACCTCATCGGTGATGAAGAAGAGGTATTTCCTTTTGGAACTCGGTATTGAAACTTTAGCTTTTCTTTAGAATTTTGTAAGACATTTCTCATCGTGTTTAACTTTTACTGTCTACCGGTAGGCCTCAAACATTGAGCAATGCGCAAAAGAAACATGAAACCTTCTGGAGTGAGAAGAAAGTAAGCAGAGTATTATCTACAACAAAGGAGAGGTATTTGCTCTCAACCTTTGTAGTTTTCCCCCTCACATCAAGGATATGCCAAGCATCTCAAGTGAGTTATTACATTTGATTTTATCAGAAAGACTTCCGGGACAAAAACTTCAACCATCAATTCTGAAAAGGTAATACACCAACTTTCTAAATCAAAATTTCTGATCCATATTGACATATCATATCTATCTATTATGTTCTTGTGAACCTAGGCTGCCATGCTAATTCAAAAAAGTTTCATTTACCTCTAAGTATCTCCAAGGGTCAGATTACTGTATTTTATAATATTTTACTGTATTTTATGGAACATTTTGATGTGCAAGTATTTTATTGTATTTTATTGCATTTTATCATATTTTAATAAGAAATTATGTAGTTTTATTAGTTTGCTGATTTATTCATTATTCTAAATCTTAAGGCCTTCACACATTGACTGGAAATTTGTGTCGGAACTGTATTGATGATTTTCAGTTAAGCTTATAGCCAATTTTGGGAAATCTTAAGTTTCCAAAATCAAGACTATAATACAATATACTCAGATGAGCAGGTTTTTGTTTTGAAATTTATTGCGTTAAATTGTTAGAATATTGCTAGGATAAACATCATATTTTAAATAGGGTCAACTTATACTTTATAATAATTTTGTAAGAACTAAGATTAAGTTGAAAGAGCTTAACTGATACGTTTGTTAAAAGAACTAAACCCTTCCAGCTTTCTTAGTTGAAGAGCTGTCTACACAAATAGAAATGATACTTGTCTTTATTTTCCTATAGTTTCAGACAAGCCTGAGGCTGAAGGATATGCAACCTGTCAAACACTTAAAATGTTTATGTAGCCATTGTGCAAAATTCTAAAAGAGGGTTTATGCAGGAAATTTGTGTCTTGGGCAATCAAATGGAAAGCCAGTTTTCTAAGCTTGAAGTGGTATGTTCCCATGCTTGTTTATTATTATGGTTGTAGATACTTGCATGGCAGCAGGCAATAACTTAGGCAAATTATCTATGTTTGTTTTATAAGAATGATCCCGTAGAAGATGATCACACTGTCTTGAAGTCTAATGACGATAGATGTTCTATCCCTAACGGGGTGAGTTTCTTGAGTTTAAGAGTTATTTAGTCCTAGTTATGATTTTATTAACGTATCACAAGCTATATTATTTTTTCTGATTTTCCGTTTTAAGGACGTTGTTCCAACAAATGAGAACTGTAATCCTAGAGAAGGTGCTGTTCTTGATCTTGCCACTGATTTTAAGCTTTGTAATGATACATATGGTATGCTTCTACAAACTCTTTAAACAAGCAATATCATATCATATAAGACTACCTTATACTCTTTTTATCTGCATTTCAGATCATAAAGATCTCATGAAAACTAATGATGATGGGCCTCCTATCCCTAATGAGGTAAGTTTTCTTTAAGTTATCATTTTCTACTTCTACTTTGTATGTTTTATTAATATATTACAAGAACGAAGGTCCTAAATTTCTACCTTTTCTTTTTAAGGTTGTCTCTACAGCAAACAAGAACAAGGATCATAAAGAGGACACAGTTTCTGGTATCACAACAGAGTTGAATCTTTATAATGGTACAAACAGTGAGACTAGAATCTTTTTAGATAAGCAACACCATAGAAGGCTATTGTTAATCTCTTTTTTACCTACCTTTCAGATGAGAACAAAGATGACAAAGAACAGACCCCTTTTTCTGATGTTGGTGGACCTTCACCAACAATAACTGAGAAATTAAGGGAGATATCAAATAAATTAAGACTTGCAAGCGTAGAACCTACAGGTGCAAATACACCAACAATAACCGAGAAATTAAGAGAGATATCAAACTCACTAAAGCTTGCAAGTGAAAAACCTATAGATGCAAGTACGCCAATTGATCGTCCATGCAAAGGACACATGAATATGGAGTCCATGGAACCAAAAACTCCCAGAGCTCCTGTTTATTTGAGACTTGAAGGAGGTTGTAGATATGAGGAGCTGAATACCCCTCAGGATATTCTGCAAGCACGCAGTACTGGACTGAAGGTTACATTAAACATCTGATTTATAATTAACATCGTCTTGAGATTACTATATACCGTATCTAACTTATCTCAGTTTCATGTTTTACAGAAATCTCTGGTTCAAGAGTGTTTATCTTTCCTAAACAGTGCTAGCAAGTAAGTCATTACATTTACTTTCAACATAAAATGCTAAACATGGTTGAAATATAGATATTTATTCACGTTGTATCTAGGTTTTTATTTTATTGTCCTTGTGAGTTGAATACACTACTGCTTCAACATTTTACTAAGATGCTATAACTACCTACACAATGAAAATAATATTTTTGGAATAGGGTAGATATTAAAATTCTGACCATTGTACCGATAAGCCAAGCCGTCTCTTTGAGGCTGGGATATTGATATTCCAGTGATGAGTTTTCGTAAGAAAGTCGAGAACAGAACAGAATGGAAAGTAGCATTGAACTTTAAAAAATATATCTAAAAGAGATTTATCAGAGCTTTGTGTAGTGTTCATGTAAAGAAAAGGTATATTTGGTTCTTTAGTCACGTAATGTAGCGGCCAGGTTTCTGTTCTGAGTAATGGCAAAAAATCATTGCTCCCATTTCTCTAGGAGATGAGATATGAGATCAGGTTTATGGATGTCTATGATGTTGATTTGTGGATGCATTTACACATAAGGATAGATCAACGCAACCAGGGATCCAACCTTTGCCTTTTTTTGATTTAAATCATTTTATTGTTATTGTAAATTTAATCATCAACTTATTTGCACAAACTATGTGATATACTGTTATCCTGACGCAACTCTAAGCAAATCTTTAAGTAGATGCTCCAAATTCTGGACAAGGAAAATGTCGACAAGCTTAAAACATGCCAAAAATCATAGGAACCTACCCTACAGGTTAGCATTCTAAGTTCATGTCATCCAAAGCAATCCTCTGAAATTTCTCCCAGCTTGTGATGGTCCATAGAAGGGTGCAGAACATATTGGAAGACAATATATTTGTTATATGAGTACGACATTTAACTCTAAGCATCACTGAAAAGATAGACAACAGAGCACCACTGATTCCCCTAAGCCCCTTTCTTTGTGCAACTCGGTAATGCAGTAATAAAAATACTCAGTTTGACTTTCACTATGTTTAAATTACTTCTGCATAATCAAAGAAGTAGCCCTCAGATGAACAAAACTCAGTATATTCTAATTTGTTTAGGTCACAAAATAAACTATTTAACTGTTCGTTGAAAATCAACTATGTTATAGCTTGGTGGACTTTGATAGACTTTTTACAAGTGTCTGATGTTTTTTATTTCTTTCAATTGCAGAGAAGAGCTTAAAGAGCTGAAGGTCAGTTTCGGCTCCCAAGTCATTGTAGTATGCTTCTTGTTTCAAATTTTTTTATGAACCTTGTTTCTTTTCTTTTTCAGGGTATTGGTGAGAAGAGGGCTTCTTACATTATTGAGCTCCGTGAAGAAACTCCAGAGCCTTTCAAGGAAGTAAGTATTTTTTTTCCACTTTCAACATATAACCTGTATTTCCTTAGAACAACAAGCCAAATTATATAACGGTTAATTACAGAGAGACACCCTATTTTATCGCCTAATTGCAGATTGACAACCCTATGCTTCTATTATTGCAGATAGATCCCTGAGTGAAAGAAAGAAGAAATACTTTTTTTTTGTTGAATAATAGACGTCTCCTGAGGTTAAAAGAGTCTTCTTCACTCAGGAGGTCTATCTGCAATAGTAGAGTTACAAGGGACCTATCCGCAATTAGGCAATAGTGCAGGGGATCTATCTACAATTAACCCATATTATTATGAAAGAACTACCATTTAATTTCTTACCCAATTTCGCAATGAACTTTTGTTTAATGTTCTCAACCTTTTTTTCCCCCTCTTGCAGATGGATGATTTGAAAGACCTAGGCCTTTCCTCAAAACAGGTATTTCTGAAGTTCCTTTGCTGTGTTTATTTCATAACTTGTTTGGACAAATTTTCAAAACCAACCCTTTTAGCATTTTATTTGCAAAAAACGACCTATTTTGAAAATAATTACAAAAACCGACCTGTTTTCAGCCCAGCGCTGAAAACAGGTCGGTTTTTGTAAAAAAGTCTCCGAAACATCACGGGAGTTCAACTCCCGTGAAGTTTATCGAGAAATTAAACTTCACGGGAGTTGAACTCCCGTGAAGCTTAATTTTGCTTAAAACTCCACGGGAGTTCAACTCCCGTGGAGTTACAGTCGAAAATTTCCAGCGAACCGATTCTCTGGCAAATTGTGGACTGCAACTTCACGGGATTTCAACTCCCGTGAAGTTTAATTTCTCGATAAACTTCACGGGAGTTTATCGAGAAATTAAACAAGTTAGGACAACTTCACGGGAGTTGAAATCCCGTGAAGTTGCAGTCACAATTTGCCAGAGAATCGGTTCGCTGGAAATTTTCGACTGTAACTCCACGGGAGTTGAACTCCCGTGGAGTTTTAAGCAAAATTAAGCTTCACGGGAGTTCAACTCCCGTGAAGTTTAATTTCTCGATAAACTTCACGGGAGTTGAACTCCCGTGATGTTTCGGAGACTTTTTTACAAAAACCGACCTGTTTTCAGCGCTGGGCTGAAAACAGGTCGGTTTTTGTAATTATTTTCAAAATAGGTCGTTTTTTGCAAATAAAATGCTAAAAGGGTTGGTTTTGAAAATTTGTCCTAACTTGTTTGCTATAAATGGCTCATTTCTAGTACCATCTGCTTCCCCCCGTGGTTCAGATTAGAGGAATGATGTCGAAGATACTCGGGGACTTCTAAAAGTGTTGATTCTCTTTCAATCACAGAAAAGATAATTGGAGAGTTTTCGTGTTGTTTCTCAAGCTCGAGAGTATGTGGAAGGCGTGGTGTGTCTACTGTTTGTTGATTCGGTGTAAATTCATTCTCTATTTTGTGACCATCAGAAGTATATAACCAATCATTATGTACATGGCTTGCTGAATAGTCATAGCAGTTACAATCCCCCCCCCCCCCCCCCCCTGTATTTGTTGATTGAATACTGGGATCATATGGTTGAAGATATCATAATACTTGTTCGTGTTGGTAATTTGAGGGTTATTTTTTGTTCTTGATGATTTCCAGGAGTTTTATTATTGAGGGTATCAAGTTCTTCCGTCGACTCAATGCCAGTATCTATTTTTTTTAAAATTATTATTTATGGCTATCCCGGTATCATGCATGATTCATACAAGTATGAAGCATACGGTTTTACTCATGCACACGTTTGATAATTTACTGCGATTTATTTACTTTTAAGAGAGACTGTTGAAATTAATGAAAAGAGATGGATAGTTGTTGAGTGGCACGATATGGGTTGAAAATTCAAATATTTGGATCCAAAAGAAAGGCGTGTTACAATTCGAATTGGGTGGATGGCAAGCTTACACAATGTACAAGCGAGAGAGTTGGAGATAAAAGAAAAACTTAAAGTCTCTGTCTCATGAGAAAAACAAATCGTACTCAACCCAGGGTGTGTTTGGCAACTCTTTAAATCTAGGTTGAGTTTGAACTTAGTCCAGTTTTAGGGTGATTTGTTGGTTGGTAAAAAGTGGGCTAGAAGTGACAAGGATTACTTTAGTTCAATTTTGGGCGTCTAAACTAGTTTACTTATAGACTTTGGGGTAATTGATCCACAATTAAACTTGTTCGGCCCATAACTAGTTTAAGGATCACATGTGGTCTAGTTTTTATGAGTCGCTAAACACATCCTAAGTGTTATAAGAAATCCACGTCTAATTAGCGTTGGAAGAATTCCCTGAGTCTTTTTTTATCATCTTATGTGGGTCAAAATATAATCATATTTGTAAAAATATATGTTATACCTGGTCAAAAATATAATCATATTTGTAAAAATCTATGTCACCTACAAAATTGTTAATGCCGTCACCTACAAAATTATTTACGCGTGGATGCTTCGTGAAAATTTGAAAGGGTGTAGGGGTTCATGTGAGAAGCCAAAAGTTGAGGGGTTTTTACAGGGAAAAATTTTCAGGGGAATTTCGCGGTAACCCGCCAGAGCTCAGGGGGTTTTTGGTGAGATTTCCCCCTTTTTCGAATTTTTAGGGGTTTTCTGAAAACATGGTACAGATTAAGTGGGGGGTTTTCTTTTTAATAAATCTATTTTTTTAGAGACGATATATGCATCTAGCCGACGCCCACGAAAACCCCCGCCGCCGACCCCTCAAAAATTCGAAATTAAATCACAATCCGAGGCAACTCGGTTCGATTCTTAGCTAATTCTTAGGGTTTCTGTGTTCTTCATCTTTTACCATTCGTTTAACGAAGAAATCTGCAGAAATTTCGATTTGGGTCAAACTCTGAAGGTTATGGGCGCGGAATCGAAGTCGAGAGCAGCTCCTAAAGTTGTGAAATTGAACAAGGCCTTGAAATTGGTAAGGGGTAAAAGAAAAATCTCACCTTTTCTTGGTTTCTCAGTCTTTGCTCTATTGTTCTTCCGCTTATTTCATCTAATTTTTCGTGATTTGAGAACAAAAGCTATGGAAATATCGTGGAAAATTAAGCTGAACTTTCGAGTAAGGAGCAGTGAAGTTATGTTAGCAAAAATTATCATCGAAATATTTGTATCGCTTTTTCCGTGGCATCGTATATTAGCGAAGAGAAACCTGTTTATTATTGAATATGTGAACTATGGAGGCTGATTATTATTATTATTATTATTATTATTATTATTTCCCCCTGAACAAGAGCTTTAGTCTAAATGGATGGAAAATGTTAATCCTTTGTTCTATCTATGTCAACCATTCAGTGTTAGAGCTTAGAAATTCTAAAGTTTAAATTGAGATTAAGCACTAGTCATCACGGACTCGGGGATTTCTAGCTGGAGTTTGTTTGTTCTAGTTAAAGCTGTTATGTTGATGTAAGTGTTATCTTTAAGCCTTTCCTATTGTTTGTATTACTGTTTTCTTGTAGGATAGATAGAGTAACAAAAGGAAAAACAGGTTTGTAATTTATTAGTATGCGAACAAGGAAGTAAGAACTAATCATCTTTCCCGTCGAAATAAAATCTTTATTCTAAATAAATGAGTAATGTTCCCCACGAGACTCCTTTCGTTTGTCTGTGCATGCATCAGTTTCTTCTAATAGGGAGACTGTTTATTTTGTAAGCGTATACGAGTTTTTCAGGTGTCCATGCTTAGTGTCATATTGGTATATACATGATTCTAGAAACGATGTATTGTGGTTTTAAACATATTTGAAGCATACAAGCGGTACTTTATTTCCTTGCTTTTGTTGTTACAATTTTAACTTTTAAGAATATCCTATAAGACATTATATATGTTGACAGGCTGAATCTTGGGTGAGCAGTATGAGTGGATCAACAACAGAAGAACATAATCAACTTGATTTTGTGGGTCGACCTCCAAGGTTGTTTTCGTTTTTGTTTTCTAGTACCTACATTATGCATATAGAGATATTCTACTGGAAATTGAGCTTTGTTTGTAAATCCTTGTGAAGGTTGGGTCTAGGAGCCAAAGAGACGCCAAAGGCAAAATCAGAAGTTTATGATCCTGTCGAAAGAAAATTGTTGGGGAAATTGCATGCATGCAAGAAATCATCCATTAAAGATGCTAGAAAAGGCAATATTGTTGAAGAAAGTGGAGACAGCGAAGAGGAGGATGATGATGAGCCTCAGAGCAGAACGAATGCTTTTGCCAAAAAGAGAGCATTGCCTCCTCCAACCACAACTCCACAGTCGAAGAAACAAAAATGAAACGTTCAGACACTAGTCAGTCTAATCCTAAATTACGTGTTCTTTTATTTCTCCACATTGCACTAATTTTACTAGCTCCACTCATCCTAAAATTTTGTAGCGGACCAACAATTAAACATGCAGAAGCTTTGTCAATTGTAGACTTGTGAAGGATGTTTAGGATCATTATCTATAATTATAGAAAATTATTTGTTATATGTTTAACTTGTAAAAGAGCCTGTTGTAACTTTCACATTCTTCGATTTTACGTGCTTCGTACAAAAGGTTTTTGGAAACTAAAAGTTAATGAAGTGTACATACCAAGTAGGGTTAATTGCGGACAGAACCCCGGTACTATTGCCCATTATGGACAGACCCCACATGGTTCTATTCCTGTAGATAAACCCCCTAAGCAAAATTTTTGGCCATCCACCCTCAGGAATGGGTACTATCGGGTCGGGTGAATTAGAGAATAGACAGACGTCTGTCGATGGTTGGGTGAATTAGAGAATAGACAGATGGTCGGGTGAATTAGAGAATAGACTGACGCTTGTTGTAGATAGTATCAGTTAAAGATTTACCTTCTTGGATCAAGTCTTCTTCAATGTGCATGTGGGCTTCAGAGATAGTTGGACTTGAATTATTTTGTCAATCTTTCCATACTCCTAGTTAACGGTCCGTTGTAAGTGGAATCATCTTGCTCAATCTTTTGTGAACATGGCAAACCTCATCTGATCTTGTGGATTGACCTCCTTGTATGCAAGTAAAGAGAGGATTCTTCCCTAGGATTTTGTGACCTCCCTTGGAGACGAAACTTCATTTTTATCATTAGCACTTAGCATCTTTGCAATGTGTTTCTTAGCCTCCTTGTCCTCCTCTTTCTTAGCATTATCGTCTATTTTTCTTGAGAAATGTAGGTTTTGAGACCCATATGGAATTTTAGGTAGAGTACCATCCATCGCGATCAAATCCCTCTCCTTTTTTGCTAGTACCGATCATCTCACCCTCCTCTTGATTTCTTTCAGAGAGAAATTTGGCGAGATTCTCTCATTGCCTAGTTGATGCGGAAGATTAAGAAGTGATAGCGTTTGAATAATGTTCATATTTTTCTCGCTTGTGGCTTCAAAATGACTATTCTCTTCAATGGTTTTGCTCCGTTTGATTTCTCCTTTTTCTTGAAAAAATCTCGCTTGTGAGAGATCTGAGAATTCCCGATCCTCAGGTTTTCGTTCTATGTAAAGTTTCACGACTGTGTGTATTCTGAAGATCGAGAATATGCTTGAGTAGAAGCGAAACTGGATCTTGGAGAAGCTTTAAGAAAATTATCCTTGTTTGAATTTTGTTGAACATCCCCATGAATAATAATTTGTTTCGAACGAAGTATTGTATCGGTCAGAGAATTTTGAAAGTTTTTGAGCAAGCTGGGCATCTTCATTCTTCTCTTGCAGAATTCTGCCATTAATTCTGCTAGCTAGATTCACATCAAAAGAGTGGCTTTCAGATGAGCAAACGGCCCCCGAGTCATAAAAGGATTCAAACTTGCACAAGGATCTCTGATAAGTTCATCACTGACAAAAATTTTGGTAACATCCGACTTCAATAAATGGAAAAGGATATGTTATGGCTATATGGATTGTATAAACTCATAATGTATACACATGAACTTAAAGACATCTGTATTAAGAATGCTAATATGGCTTATTATAAGTAGAGAAGATTTGCTTAGAGAGAACTGAAATTTGTGAATAATATTTACAAATTAGATATCATAGAGGTACTTTGGTGATCCTTTTTGCATGCATCGGTTGCATGCATCGGTTTCTTCTAATTTGGGAGATAACTCATTTGGATATCTCTGAAGGCATGCTTTAGGTATTCAATCATTATAGTTTTTGACTTGCTTTATGTATTCATTCTTTATAGTTTTCGACTCATTACATCTTTCATCTCGCACCTTCAATTATAAGAGACATTCATGATTCTAGAATTAACTTATTATGATTGTAATCAGATCTGAATCATACAATTTATTGTATTTCATTGTTCTTTTATTACAAATCCACTGTTCAAAATCAAACTTAAATTGAGATTAAGCACTAGTTGTCTCGAAGTCGAAGATTTCTGCATGGAGCTTCTTTGTTCTACTAAGCTGCTAAGTTGACAAAAGTTTTATCCTCAAAGCTTTTTGTATTGTTTGTATCACTATTTTGTTGTACCAAAGAATAAGTAAACCAAGCATATTTGTAATTTGTTAATATGAGAACAATGAACTAATACCCTTGCCACAATCCATTCTCCTCTCAGTGATCAAGAGCTAGTGCATGACACCTTATTTTGTATGAAATTCTTGAAGCGATAATACTCTAACCACTGGTGTTATCTGAATTTCTTCACTCATAAATAAGGAACTCAAAGCATGAGGATTTTCCCAATGCCAATAACATTACATCAGAAATAACTTTATTGAGGTACAAAAAACTATCTGCCATGTTACACTTTCCAATTAAATTCAACCCCAAAATAATAAAAAAACAAACATTAAGAAAGAACAAAAAACTATCACAAAATATTGCACTCTTCAGTTTCTCATGTATTAACACAACAACAAACAGAGAAAGAACAAAGAAATGGATCTAGGAGATCTTTATGTTGTATTTACTCAATCCCATAGCTCAAGTAGAGTTTCTTCCATTATATAATCCAAAATCACATCTTCGATCTCAAATACAGCACGTTCAGTCTCAAGCCTAACATTCATCCAAGCTTCCCCTTCAAAGTTTCTCCATACTACTCGCTCCAATGTATAAGGATGCACTATCTGTAGACATTGATCAACTCTTTTGCACACTTCCTTCACAAAATTTTCTCCTGTTGGGACCGATAATATCTGAGGCTTGATAGAATATATCCAAGGAGTACAACTAAAATATATGTCGCATATTTGTAGAAGAACTTCGTTAATGCAATCGAAGAGGAGCTTAGAGTCATCGATCAGTTGATTATATAAGATTTCTACTTCATCGAGTACAAATGGATCCAGTAACTGATCTGTTGATTTCCATCTCTCTGGTAGCTTGTGGTTGTTTAAGCCTGAGGCTTCTAATACACTTCTTACATACTTCAACTTTGTTTCCTTAGCCTCTGCAGCTACTTTTGAGGTTAGAATTAGATGAGAATCTTCAGTTTCTTCGAAAGAAAGCCTCCGAGGTTCTGCTAGCAACTCAGCTGTGAAATATTTGTGCATGTCGTTGTTGAGATATCTTTAATGAATAGAATCAAGGTGTTTTTTTTTTGTATATTAAGTCGTGTATTTGAAAACCAACACCAAATTTCAATTGCAAAATTACTCCCAAATGATCAACTTTTGAAATAATAGAAAACCTGCAAATAGGTAAATCATCAACTTTGCTGGATATGTTACAGTTAAAAAATTGACTATTTTGTTAATGTTTTTACATTGCAATTACAAATTAGTCTATCAAAGTTGATATTTTGTTGATTTTGGGGGTAATTTTTTTTTTTCAAATTTGATGATTTAGGAGATAGTTTTGCAAATATACATGATTTAAAAGGGTCCATAAAAAAAATCAAATTGCAAACATATAGAGGCTTCTTACTATAGTCAATTCCTGTCCCTTGAGGTATATTGATATCCTCATCAAAGAACACTTCAAGAACAGATACTGGACTAGGACGAGCTAGGTTTTCTGTTGTGCTTTCAGGAGCTTCAGTCTTTTCTGCAGAGTTAGGCGAGACCGGAACAAAAGGATATGGAGGTGCTGCTTCTTCAAATGGCCCCTACTTAATGTTAGAAAATTTCATTGAACTTTAGTGAGAGAGAAATAGAATAAACTCAGGGAAGCAACATAAATGCTTTGGACAAATTTTCAAAACCATCCACTTTTGAAATTTATTTATAAAAAACGACCCATTTCAACCTTAATTTCAAAAACCGACCCAGTTGGTTGAAACTGGGTCGGTTTTTGAAAAAAAAAATTCAAACTTCACGGGAGTTGAACTCCCGTGAAGTTTTGTTATGAGAAAAAACTTCACGGGAGTTCAACTCCCGTGAAGTTTGGAAATTTTTTTTTCAAAAACAAACCCAGTTTCATCTAACTAGGTCTGTTTTTGAAATTAAGGTTGAAAGGGGTCTTTTTTTGGGAAGAAATTTCAAAACCGGATGGTTTTGAAAATTTGTCCTAAATGCTTTTTTCAAGTCAATTACCGAATATTCTTTGTTGCGTACTTCACAACTCTGAACAGGTTCATCTATATTGAACTCAACCGCTATATCTAAACTTTCACACTCTTCGATTTCAGTGCTTCCTGCAAAAGGTTTTCGAAACGCAAAAGTTGTGTATGCACCAAGTGTACTAGAACTGTAGAGATAGTTATTAAGGACGGCTGCTAATGGCAGATAGAACCCCCCTTCCCCCCCCCCCACCAAAAAAAAAAAAACACAAAAAAAGCGGCATAGACTCCTGCAGTTCTATTCTTGCAGATATACCCTTGAGTAAATTTTTTTGACTCTTTTACTTTCAGATGAAGATTTTTTTTCATTTGACAAATAAACCTCCTGAGGGCAAAAGAGAGAGGGAGACAGAAATTCACTCAGGGGGTCCATCTGCAGTTGGGATATGGTACAAAGGATCTATCCACAGCAATAGAACTACAGGAGACTATCTGCAATTGGGCAACAATACAGGGGTCTATCTACAATTATTCCTTAAAAAATTTTACCCTTTTGGATTAAGTCTTCTTCAATGTGCATTTGTGCTTCAGAGAGAATTGGCCTTGAATTATCACTGTTTGGCAAACTTTCCATACTCCTACTTGACGACTCGCTGTAGGTGGAATGACCTTGCTCAATCTTTTGCAACGACGACGACCTCATCTGAGATGGTGAATTGACCTCTTTGTCCCTTGAAGGTCTGAATCTAGTAGACAATAAGTTGTATGCCGGTAAAGAGAGTATTTTACCCAAAGATTTTGTGACCTGCCTTGGAGATGAAACTCCATTTTTATCATTAGAACTAAGCATCATTGCAAGGCGTTTCTTAGCCTCCTTGTCCACCTTTTCCCTGGCATTCTTCTCTCCTATATTGAGAAATGTAGAAGGTTTTGAAGTCAGGTCATTAGAAATCTGGGACCCATATGGAATTTTATGTAGAATACTATCCATGGCGATCAAATTTCTCTCCTTTTTGCTAGTACCGATCATATTTCTCAACCTCCTCTTGATTTCTTTCAGAGAGAAGTGTGATGAGACTCTCAGATTGTCTTCTTGATGCGGAAAATTATGAAGTGATATTGGTGAAGGGATCATACTATTTGTGTTTGAATAATGTTCATATCTTCCTGGACTTGGCTTCAAAATTACTATACTCTTTAATGGCTTTGCTCCATTTGATTTCTCCTTTTTCCTGAAAAACTTGTGTTTATTTTGCTTGTGAGAAAGCTGAGAATTTCCCGGATCCTCAGATTTAACTCCATGTAAAGTTTCATGATTGTGTGCAATCTGAAGATCGATCATGTGCTTGAGGAGAATTGAATTTGGATCTTGAACGAGCTTTAGGAATTTGTCCTTGTTTGAATTCAGTGTCTCTAGCGTGTCGACGAACTCTTCTGTAATTTGTTTCGAGCCAATAGAATTCTGAAGGAATTTGTGCTTTCGAGTAAGCAGGGTATCATCATACTTCTCTCTGCAGAATTCTACCATTAATTCTGCTAGATTCACATCAAAAAAGGAGCTTTCAGATGGATCTGACCAAGTAGACTGAGAATCTCTTGAATCGTTGACATCATGATCTACCTCATAGTTTTGATTTTGTCTTCTCTTCTGATTTGTCTTGTGATCATCCTCACAGCCAAACTTAAGTCTCAGCTCTTCAATTGTAGAACTGAGTATCTTCTCTGAAATGAGAGCTTGGGACATCTCTTCTGCCATCAACCTCTTGGTACTACACTTGCCAGTGTTATCTCTTCTTATGTTCTTACCACCAGTATCCTAAAATTGAATAATATAGTCAATATCTTCAAAACAAATTGCACTATTTTGGAAATTGAAAGAATTATTTAAGTTTATTGTATATATATGTAGATATTTAGCTGAGATTTTGTATAATTGTGCATAACTTATGTTCTCGTGCTCCCTTGGCTTACATTAGGTGATATGTCACTTTGAATGAATTGATTGGTGCTGCTATGAGGAGAACCAAATGAGGCTCAAACAACTGAAGGAATTACATTAACAACAAAGTATATTCTTTGTTGATGCTCTTGGAAATTTTTCCATACACTGATTGATGATAATGAATGCAGCTGAGATAAATGTTTTCGTCATGGATTTGAGATTATTTTTTGATCTATAAGGTTAAGTTCTTGGGAATTCTTTAATATACATATACATATATATACTAAGTTCTTTGTGAATGCCTTTTATTATCTAATAATAAGTGATTCATATATCTCTTCTATAAGAATCTTGGTTTTGAGAAATGCTATTGAGCATCTCTAATTATTATTGAAAGCATTAATAACAATATTGTCAATAAAATGATATCCTAATTATAAATTCCGTGCATCACACGGGTTTGAAACAAGTTGAATAATATAGTCAGTACCTTCAAATACGTATTTTGTACGTTCTGCATTTTGTATGGCAGAAACGCTATTTGGCTCGCTCTTTAACTCGCGACCTCAACTCGCGCCTACGTGGAGAGAGACACGTCAGCAATCCTAATTTTATTCCCGTGACCTCAACTTCCTTCCCCAAACTCGTTCTCTCTCCTCACTTCAGAAAAAAATTCCCAAAAGAAAAACACTCCCCCTCCCAACCCTAGCCCCAACTCCGCCGTGACTCCTTCGCCGTCCCCTGACTCCGCCATGACACCGCCGTCGCCGCCTGACTCCGCCGTCACACCGTCGCCATCCCATAAAACTTGGACTTTTAAATCGTAGAAAATTCTAGAAAATTGAGAAAAATATAAATACTCTTTTAAAAATAATAATTAAATATTTTAAAATACTGAAAAATTATTTTAACTAGTATCGAAAATTCATGGTCCTTACAAGTGGCGTAGCTGGTTTGGCTTGGTTTGGCCTGGATATCTCTCTGGTGGAGTTTGTGGGGTTCTTCTGGTATTCGTCCATAATTTGAGGTTTATCAAATGATGTACGAGGTGAAGAATTGTGATCGTGGTACGCTCCCACGTGGGGGCCCTGACTCCTCCGTGACACCGCCGCCGCTCCCTGACTCCGCCGACACACCGCCGCCAGCCCCTCAACTCTCCATCCCCCCACTTCAAAACAAGTATGTTTCCTCTTTTTTAATCCATCAAAAACCCTCAATTTCGTGCAAATTTCACTTCTTTCCATATGATTTGATATGATTTCTGTTTGCATCTTGTTTAATTGAAATCTACTTACAAACTATTTTGGCTTGAGAGAATGATGTGTTTAATTCGATTTTCCATCTAGTTCCTTTACTGGTTAATTAAAAATTCGTGGGTCTTGAGAGAGTGATGTGTTTAATTTCAAGGTGGGGATTTTGTTTTTATTTATGAGCTTCATACCAGGAAATCATGATGTAGTTATTATTTAGTTGGTCACAAATTTTTTGTTTACTCTAAAGATGAAGTAACTAAAAGAAAAGGAAACAACTGCAAGTGTTCATTAGCATCATAACCTTATACAGAATAATTCGTAGTCCCCCCTAATTATGTTTTGGTATGTCAAGGAATAAAATCTGTGTTTTTCATAATGCTAATTGTCAGTTTCAATCAATTCTTTGCTCAGTTTCTTTGTTCAGCTCAGTTTCTTTGTTCAGTTTCTGTCAACTATTTTTCTGTAAAGTTTATTGATGATCAATTTGAACAGGCATGACAGATATTGAGGAGTTTGATGATGTAGTTGATGATGCCTTGAATAATTGCTCGGTTGATGAGAGATCTGAGTTGCCTCAGCACACTGATCAGCGGATTGAGCAAAATGAGCCTAAAATTGGGATGGAGTTCAATGATCCAGATGAATTGTTTGAGTTTTACAAAGACTATGCAAAGAGCAGTGGATTTCCAATTAAGAAACATACAAGAAGGAAGAATGAAATGGGCATTGTTAGAAGTATGACTTTAGTATGTGGTCGAGCTGACAAACATAATAGTACTTGTCAAAATCCCTTAAAACCACAAGCAAGCTAAAGAGTTGGGTGTAATGCAAAGATAACAGCTAGGTTAAATCTGGACGGAAGATTGGGAATATTTGTGGTTGTTCTGGAGCATAATCATGGCCTTAGCCCTAGTAAAAGTCGTTTCTTTCGATGCAACCGAAGAATTAGTGCACATGTTAGACATCAAATTAATCTGAATGATCAAGTCGGAATCAAAATCAACAAAAATTTCAGCTCACTGGTACATGAGGCTGGTGGATATGAGAATCTGTTGTGTGATGAAAAGGCTTGCAGGAACTTGGTTGATGAATCAAGGCGTTTACGTCTCAGCGAAGGTGATGCTTCAACGATTATGAAATATTTTTCAAGGATGGTTGCAGAAAATTCAGGTTTCTATTTTGATATTGAATTGGATGATGAAGATCATTTGAAAAATGTATTTTGGGCAGATGGTAGGAGCAGAGAAGCTTACAAAGAGTTTGGTGAGGTCGTCACTTTTGATACCACATACTTAACAAATAAGTATGATATGCCATTTGCACCATTTGTTGACGTTAACCATCATGGGCAATCAATTTTACTTGGATGTAGGTTGATTTCAAAAGAAGACACAAAGACTTTCATATGGCTATTTACAAAGTGGGTTGAATGCATGGATGGATGTGCTCCGCAAGGGATAATAACTGACCAAGTAAGAGCCATGAAAAATGCAATTGAGATTGTTTTTTCAAACACTAGACACAGATGGTGTTTGTGGCATATAATGAAGAAGCTGTCAGAAAAATTAGGAAGGTACACTGAATATGAGGCCATCAGTTCTACCATGAAAGCTGATGGTTTGTTGATTTGAGGGTATTTTTTTCTAAAGCTATTTGGAGGATAATTTTTACATGGATGTTACTGTTCACAGTTTACACAGTTTACACTTGCTGTTCAGGATTTGGATTTACAGACGTAGAGTTTAATTCTTTTGGTGTGCACTGTTTGCAATTTCTCCTATGGTGTGTTTGGAAACTCCTTAAAATAGGGTCAAGTTTGATCGAGGATCCATTTTAGGGGAAATTGTGTTGGGGTAACAGTGAGCAAACATCGACCTAGTTTTTCTAATGCTAAATTTAGCATCATAAACTGGTTTTGTTTAAAACAGGACTAGCCACAGGATCAGCTTTGGTCCTGGTCTAGTTTTAGGGTGATTGATGAACACACCCACGCTTCTTAAACGCAAGCGGGTTGAGCTGCTATTCTTATCCTGCTTGTTCTTTTATTTGTTTCACTCTGGATTCCCTAATGGCAAAAGCTTATATATCACAAGAATAATCCTTCGAGTCTCCTCTCAACGAGACGCTATCCTGCTGTTTATTACCATAATCCACCTTTATTTGATTTGTTTCATGTGTCAACATGAGCTTACAGATGTGAAAGCTAAAAAGGTGCATAAATTAGAATAACCGTAATCTACACAAAATTCTCAAGGCAAACATCAATCAATTGCAAACTGTATACGCCATATGCCAATTCAAACACAACAAGCCACCAACTACCTTGTGAGTTTTAATGACCCATGAAAAAATTTGTGGAAAGACCCACGAATTTTTATCTTGTTAACGAGTTTTAATGAACACAACACAGAGTAAAGGAACTAGATAACCATTTTAATTAACCAGTAAAATCCACAAGACCCACGAAATCGAATTAAACACATCACTCTCTCAAGCCAAAATAGTTTGTAAGTAGATTTCAATTAAACAAGATGCAAACAGAAATCATATCAAATCAGATGGAAAGAAGTGAAATTTGCACGAAATCGAGGGTTTTTGATGGATTAAAAAAGAGGAAAGGTACCTATTTTGAAGTGGGGGGATGGAGAGCTGAGGGGATGGTGGTGGTGTGTCGGCGGAGTCAGGGGGTGGCGGCGGTGTCACGGCGGAGTCAGGGGGTGGCGGCGGTGTCACGGCGGAGTCAGGGGGTGGCGGCGGTGTCACGGCGGAGTCAGGGGGTGGCGGCGGTGTCACGGCGGAGTCAGGGGGTGGCGGCGGTGTCACGGCGGAGTCAGGGGGTGGCGGCGGTGTCACGGCGGAGTCAGGGGACGGCGGCGGTGGGTTGGGAGGGGGAGTGGGTTTCTTTTGGGGATTTTTTTTTCTGAAGTGAGGAGAGAGAACGAGTTTGGGGAAGGAAGTTGAGGTCACGGGAATGAAATTGGGGTTGCTGACGTGTCTCTCTCCACGTAGGCGTGAGTTGAGGTCGCGAGTTAAAAAGCAAGCCAAATAGCATTTCTGTTTGTATGGTTGATAACAACTTGCATGTACAGTACAATGGACATAGAAGGATGCACACGGAAGTGTGAATGGTGTAGCAAATTAAGCTCATTCAAAGCAAAACCCAAATTTGCACGTATATAGGACATGGTATAATATCCGTTTGTTGACTATAAATATAGAAAGAATCAAGCGGCAATGATGTAAGGGAGAGGCTCAAACTCACACCAAGATCTCTGATAAATGTAGAATGATATGTTATGGCTATATCATTAGTATAAAACTCATAATATAGTATACACGTGAACTTAAGAAATTGCCTAGTAAGAACGCTATTCTCGCATCTTGTGTGTAGAGAAGACTTGATTAGAGAGAGATCAAATTTGTACATAATATTCACAGGGAAGATTAAAAATTATGTCATCATGTTGATTGATAAGGGGTGAAAGTGGGAAATGATAAATATATAAACATGGACTATTTTACATGTAAGCTACACTTACAGTGACATCCTCATTCCTTTCATCCAACTTGCTCAGCACCTCGAGTTTGTTCCTTGTATGTACAGTTTCTGCACATGCCAAAAGGATACTAGGGTTCAATGACGAAGAAAATTTTAAAAGGAAGGGTATCAAACTCGAAGAATTCCTCAATTATATTGTTGAGAAATACAAAGTTTGTGAACAAACTGTGTGCTGAATTTAGGCGTGCATACTGCAACCTAACCTATGGTAAGGTTTAGTTGCAACAAAAGTGCAGTAATAATAGGACATAAATAATCCAAATATCCAATATATATTAGCATGCTCAGGTATCTATTTTGATCAGGAACCCCACTTAAATGTAAGTTCTATTTCTAAAAGGAAATAAGTTTAAGTAAGATACATAATTCTATGGGAGGAAATTAAACATTTCTCGTCAACCATATACCAAATAACTTGGTAAGCAAGTGTTACTTACGGATCAAACCCTGTAGCATCGCTGGTTTGACCTTACTAACCCTCGAGTTTTATTTTTGCACATGTATCCTGAAAGTGAACGTTTTGAATCTTCTGCCCTCAAGGGGCCTATTTCTCAAAGAAGAAGAAGAAGAAAAAAGGAAGGTTCTCTCTCTGAGGAGACAAGAGTCAAAAGCTTCACTAGGGAGTCCATCCGCAAAAATAAAACTAGAGAAATAGTACGTTCAACATCGCGATATTACCGGGGGGGCATATGTTCAATTAACCTGGAAAAAAGCTGAAATCAGCTCATCAACAAATATTAGATATAGTCCCTTACCTCCAATTCCACTATTCCCATGTTTTCTATCGGTGAGCAACTTTTGAGTAGAACGGACTTGGCGAAAATCGAACATGTTAATTAATCCTGACATACATCCCGCCTTGTTCTTTGGCCGTGCAGGCCGTTCATGTGATTTCCTAGCCATGATGTTCTTCATAGTGATCTCTAGTACCAAGCCTTGCTTTTAGCCACTTCAAATGTCTAAATAGCTATATGATTGCCCCCGCGGGTTGGGGCTCCTGGTTAGCGCCACGAAGAGTGAGGGAGGAGATCTCCCTAGTTGGTCAGGAGTTCGAATCCCCGTTACCACATTCACCTGGCTCCTGCGGTTTAAGGGGGTAGCAGGAACCCGGGGTTTTACTGGTCACTCAGTCTCAGCCCGTTGTATGCTCACCAGGTCGCGTCCCTTGTGGTCCACTGCCTGTTCGCCCACTCACGTGGGGTTGAACCCCTGGTAATAAGGGTAGCTCCTTGCAGGATACTAAGTGGGGATCATGGGGAATCGATCAAGGGCCGCTGGCGGGACTCCCAAAGGGAGTAAAATTGAGAGGAGGTGACCAGGTTTCCCTTGCCGTAAAAAAAAAAAAAAAAAAAGATTTATGGAACCAAATTGAACCTGGGGTATACACAAACAATCAAACATCAAATAGATTTTCATTTGTATGGGCATTGAGGAAGTAAGAACTATCCAAGTTGGCGACACGTGTAGATACAGGTTGCAGAATCTAAATGCAGAATTACAAGGGAAACTAATGAAACTAACTATTTAGTTTAACGCACTCAAGTTTATATGTAACATGAGAAGAAAGATGCTCATATTATTCCCAATAAAAATCCTAGAACCAGATTGATGACATGCATATATATATATATATTGAAAAAACAAAGGAAAATAGAGTAGAGAGGGAACCACAGAAAAACTTACCTGAAAATTTGAGCCATACTCCAAATAAACACCGAAGTTTGAGAACTTCCAATCTCAAACGGCTAAAAAAAATAATTAAGGAACTTTAGCTGCCTCTTTATTCTCTTAGTTGATAAATAAAGGTATCAAAACTTTTCTTCCACCGAAGGCATCCTCCCCCTTTACTCTCTCAATCTCTACGCAAGCCTCCTCAATATACTTGGAATCTTCACAGAAAAGCTTGATCCTCTCTCAAATTTTCTCAGAGAACAAAAAGATGAAAACTTTACCATCAACTTCTTATCTTTCAAAAGACCCATCTTGAAAAATAGCTGTAGGGCTACATGAAACCCATCTTTAGCCGCGTGCAGCCACCGTTGGAGAGGGGAGGGCGGAGGGGCATTTTGGGAAGAAGCTAGGAAAGTTCGGAGGGGGGAGAATGTGTGCTCCTTTGGGATTTCAAATGCCCAAAAAGGGCCTCTGCATTTTCAGAACAGGAGTTTATTTTGTCTTTGGTCTTAGTTGCCTCTCTTCCCCTTTCTTTTGGTTATTTGCATGTATACCCCTTAAATCATGGGTTTTTGTTGCAAAACTATCTCTAAAATGTTGGTATTTACAAAACTGCCCCTCAAATCATATGCTTTGTGAAAAAGTACTCCTAAAATCAACAAATCATCAACTTGATGCTAAAGTTTTATTGCGATTACAAATTAGATTATCAAAGGTGAGGAATAAATGTTTTTGGGGGTAATTTTTCAAAATTGATGATGTGAGGGTTAGTTCTGCAAATACAGAGATTTGGAGGTATTTTTGCAAACATCAATGATGTAAGGGGTATATATGCAAATGGCCCTTTTTTCTTTTCTTTTTTCTGAGCAACAGAAAAGGGAGGGAATGAGAAGAAATGTATAAATGAGTTTTTTGGCATTTTTTTGCAGCAATTTAAGTCTTGCAGTTTTTACTTTTTACTATATTGCCCCTCAACCGACCTTGTTTATCTCCATACCGACCTTCTCAGTTTCTTAATATTTCTGATTTCATTCATCAGCGTCATTTCTCAACATGGGATTTATTTTATGAAGAAATGGTATAAGCTGATTTGTTTTGAAATCATTGTGAACTCACTAAAAATTTTTAGAATTCAAAGAATAAATTATATTAATTTAAGTGACGGGCTTCTTTCTTGTATATAAGTTATCTCAATTTAAGTGTCGTCTACATTTTTTTCTTAAATTGTATTTTGCATAAAGGTGGCATTTTTATCACCGGTTTGATTACTCAAGTTACTCATTCTAAAATAATTTGAGACCAGAGATAAAAACTTGATAGTTCTTTTAGTGTTCGGTCAACATCTTTGGTGAACTTTTCACATCAATTGCATTATTAGCCCTGACGTGTGGATAATCCTCTTTTGGTTTCTCTATATAATTTGAAATGGGACACACGAAACAAATTAAAATACTCCTAAATTTTATCTTGATCTTCATGTAGAGCTTGTCTTATTCTTCGAATTATGTAATCATAGGGCTATTAGCCCTATGATTACATACTTATGTAATCATAGGGCTATTAGCCCAATCACTTTATTCCCAACAAGCATGTTTACTTTATGCCTAATTAATCGTAGGCTAAAATCAATTTAATCAATTTCCTTTCTCCATGAAATAAATTATGAAAAGATTGCTCCATGAGTAAAGACGCTAAACTTGCTAACCTAACCTTCATTGTCCCTACCATGAGGTAGATCAACCCTACTGGTATGTTTGGGAGTTCACTTAGGAAAGAGAAAAATTCCCCTTCCTTCCATTTCCCTCCATTACACCCCAAATTGGGGTGTAAAATTTTGCCCCAATTTTTCCATCCATTCGTCTTCTCTACCCTCCTAAATGAAACTCTCAATCAAGTTTAAAATGAAATTCCTCTTCCCTTTCCCCTCTCCACCCTCCATCCAAACAGGCTGTAAAGAGAGAATTAATGAGAAAAATGGTCTCTGCTTTTGTCTTCTTTCTCTTCTATGTTCATTGATCAATGCAAATCTCATTCATTTGGAATATTACTGTTAGTCTAAGGTGTAGACCCAAAGTTCGAGACAAAGAGATGGAATCAAAAAGATCAGAAAAAACGAGCAGACAGATCTGCGGTCGACCGGGTCGGTCGACCGCGAACGTGCACAGGGGGCTGGGAGAGCCTGGATCAGGTCGCGGTCGACCGACCCGGTCGACCGCCAAAACCCTGTTTGTACAACATCAAAAAAGGAGTTTTTTGACTGCAAAGAGAGAGAGAGAATCTCAGAGAGATTAATCCCTTGTTTGAGAGCTTGTATTTTCTTCTTTAATTAATAAAGAGATTGTGTGGTGTGGCTCCCGAGGACGTAGGCACGTTGCCGAACCTCGTTAAATCTGTGTGTTCATCTCCTTTACTGTTTTTTACAAGTTATATCTTTATTTGTGGTTTTATTTCTACTTTCCTACTTTCAACACAAGGTCCGGAAGGGCAAGGGTTCGATTGATTGTTTCGAATCCCCAACAAGAAGTATCAGAGCTTCGTTCAGCAATTTGTGTGAAAGCCATGGCAGAGGAAAGCAAATCAAAGATTGAGAAGTTCGACGGATCGGATTTCGCCTACTGGAAGTCGCAGATGGAGGACTATCTGTACCAGAAGGACTTGTATCGCCCGCTTCTGGGCAAGGAAAAGGGAAAGAAGAAAGAGGAGTCAGATGGTGATTGGGAGGTACTGGATAGGAAGGCTCTAGGGCAAATCCGGTTATCGCTCGCCAAATCAGTAGCCCATAATATTCTAAAGGAGAAGACGACGGTGGGGCTTATGGAAGAGCTCGCGAAGATGTACGAGCAACCGTCGGCAGCAAACAAGGTGCATCTAGTCAAAACTCTTTTCAACCTCAAGATGGCAGAAGGACGGTCCTTCACGATGCATCTCAGCGAGTTCAACACGATTGTTGATCAACTTATCTCCGTGGACATCACGTTCGATGACGAAGTGCAGACCCTTCTACTACTATCGTAGTTGCCGGATAGTTGGGCAGGTTGTGTGACGGTAATCAGCAATTCGGCGGGGAAAGAGAAGTTGAAGCTGAATGAGGTTGTTAGCATGATCCTATCCGAGGAGGTTAAAAGGAAATCGTCCGAATCAGAAGGTTCAGGTTCAGCCCTAAGTTTCGAGCAGAGAGGCAGAAGCCAGAAGAAAGGGAACCAGAACAGGAATCGGTCGAAATCAGTGAAGAAGAGGCCGAACTCGAAGGTTAGGTCCATCAAAGGAAAGTGTTGGAACTGCGGCCAGGAGGGCCACATGTCTTTGGTCTGTAAAGCACCAAAGAAGGATGCGGGTGAGCAGGAGGCTCATATCGTGCAGGATGCCTTGATCCTTGCTATGGATAGCGATTCTGATTCTTAGGTCATCGACTCAGGAGGTTCTTTCCACGCCACTGCTAATAGGAAACCACTTCAGAACTATGTAGCAGGGGACTTTGGTAAAGTATACTTGGGGGACAATGAACCTTGCAATATTGTTGGAAAGGGCGACGTTCAGATACAGATAAAGGGCTCTAAGTGAAATTTAAAGAACGTGAGACACGTGCCGAAGCTGAAGAGGAATCTTGTTTCGGTGGGACAGCTTGGAGCAGAAGGCTACGTTTCGACATTCACCGGGGATTCGTGGAGAATCTCCAACGGTACTATGGTTGTTGCCCGAGGCAATAAAACAGGAACTCTCTACCTCACTTCACATGCGAGTGACACCCTCGCAATTGCAGCTGGCAAGGAGAGTACAGATCTGTGGCACAATAGGCTGGGGCACATGAGCGAGAAAGGGATGAAAATTCTACATTCACAAGGAAAGCTAACCGGGATCGACACCGTGGAAGTCGGGGTTTGTGAAGACTGCATCTTTGGGAAGCAGAATAGGGTTAATTTCCAGAAGGGTGGAAGGCTACCTAAGGCTCAGAAGCTAGAGTTGATTCATACAGATGTATGGGGTCCAGCCAGTGTGTCTTCTTTTGGCGGTTCGAGATACTACGTCACCTTTATCGACGATCACTCGAGGAAGGTGTGAGTTTACTTCATGAAGCACAAGTCAGAGGTGTTCGAAATCTTCAAGAAGTGGAAGGCCATGGTCGAGAACGAGACAGATCTGAAGGTGAAGTGCTTGAGATCAGATAATGGTGGAGAATACGAGCTGGGGGAGTTCAAGATGTTCTGTGCTACGAATGGGATTCACTTAGAGAGGACTACTCCAGGGACGCCGCAGCAGAATGGCATTGCAGAGAGGATGAACAGGACCTTGACAGAGCGTGCGCGGAGCATGCGACTACATGCAGGTCTGCCTAAGACATTTTGGGCGGATGCGGTGCATATGGCAGCCTACCTGATTAATCACGGGCCATCAGTTCCATTAGATTTTTGGATTCCAGAGGAGGTTTGGAGTGGAAAGAAGATAAATCTCTCACACTTGCGGGTATTTGGTTGCGTGGCTTATGTTCATATCAGTGACCATGTCAGGGACAAGCTAGAAGCTAAGTCACAGAAGTACACATTCATTGGATACGGCATTGATGAGTTCGGGTATCGCCTTTGGGATGAAAAGAACAGGAAGATCATCAGGAGCCGTGATGTGATATTCAATGAGGAGGTGATGTACAAGGACAGGGACAATGCCAAGGATAGCCAAAGAAGTGGGAGAAGCACTACGAATACAGGTGGATCCGAGTACATGGATTTGGAGAAACTTCCAGATGGGGGCGACGATGTCAGTTCTGACCGTAGAACGGAGGAGACTACAGGTGCAGAAGCTACTACCCAGGGCGTGGAGCTTAGGAGGTCATCCAGGGTACCTAAACCAAATCTCAAATACCTCTCGTCACTTGATTATCTACTCTTAACAGATAGCGGAGAGCCGGAGTGTTATGAAGAGGCAGTGCAAGTGAGTGAATCTCAGCAGTGGGAGCATGCGATGCAGGAGGAGATGGATTCTCTACTCACTAATGAGACATGGGAGTTAGCCTAGCTACTTACACAGAAGAAAGCCTTGCACAATAAATGGGTCTACCGGGTCAAGCAGGAGAGTGATGGAAGCAAGAGATTCAAGGCCAGATTAGTCGTGAAGGGGTTTCAACAGCGGGAAGGAGTAGACTACACGGAGATATTTTCCCCTGTTGTGAAACTCACAACCATCAAAGTGGTATTGAGTTTGGTAGCTACAGAAGACCTCTTCCTTGAGCAGTTAGATGTGAAGACTGTCTTTCTTTATGGTGGCTTGGATGAAGAAATCTACATGAAGCAACCTGTTGGCTTCATTGAAGAAGGAAAGGAAGAGATGGTGTGCAAGCTCAAGAAGAGCTTATATGGTTTGACACAGGCTCTGAGACAGTGGTATAAGAAGTTTGATAACTTCATGCAGAACAATGGCTACAGAAGATGCAATTCGGATCATTGCTGTTATTTCAAAAGGTTCGAG